ATAGCCAAACGAAAACACGTCGCTAGCGACACCGCGTTCCATTTCTAGTGCGATGTGCGGAAATTTGTTCATCGATTTCTCAATGTTCACCTTGGGTTTACGTAACCTGGCTTTAACAATCTTGCAGCTTTTTCCAAAATCGATAATTACGGGCTTGTTTTCCGATCCGTCAATGACAACATTACTGCTTGTTGTGCAAGAAACCTCTTTCATGGATGAACATTAGTATTTCGCATATTTGCTTTAAGATATTTGCGCACATGGCAACATGTTGAATAACTTTTTCCGAAGCGGCCTTAAAAAGTGTTACGCTTTCACTACGCAAAGCGTGGAACTGGAGAACCAGATAAAATGGTGCCCGATCTGTGGAAACACCAAACAGAAGAGGGATTCCCCAGTGGTCTCCAATTCCAGTGATTGCTGATGCTTCACGCCACACTTCCTCTCGTCTTGGGGATTCAATTATTTTCATTTCTTTAGCAACAACGCCGTATTCATTGCGATATAGGGCGATGTAGCAGTTCCCGAAGGTTCCGTTTCCAATTTTTTGGCTTTTATCCACTTTCAGCAAAGACCTATTGATCTCCTTAAACGCAAGAGCTTCTGCGTTCTTGCCGATGCTATTTTTTCTGGAGCTAACTTCGATTTGTTTCCGTGAAATTTTTGTGGCCGGCACGTATTTCTCGTCGGTATGACCTTTCCGTTTTAACTTCGAATGTGATAAATTGACCATGACCTTACCTCTGGAAAAAGTATTTGCCTCTGGAGATAGTTTGTTGGCCTCGATCCGTTTCTTGTTTGCGGCCAGTGGTTCTGCCACCTTCTCACTTTCTGATTCTCGAACCTTTCCATTCTCCTCTCCCTCTTCCGGCATCTTCTGTAGTTCTGGTCCACGAGTCTTCTCATCATATTTCTCCTCTTGTGGCAACTCCTCTCTTTCTGGTACACGAAAGTTCTCATTCTTCAATCCTTCCTCCCATTTTCTCCTCATCCATACCTTATTTTGCTTTGTTTTCTCTTTTTGAATGCGCTCTTGAACGATACTTTCCATCCCTTACTCGGAATACTCGCTCTACTTTTATGCATAACTCCTCTCGCTCGTTTGAGCATATGTTTTATTTACGGGAGAAGACTTCCGATACCGAAGGTAGCACGTGGTACGTGAGAATTGTCTCTAAACAGAATCCATTGTTTCAAGAACACCCGTACTCAACCCCATATCAAAATTAAATTCTTTTTTCCTGTCCTCACACTTTTCCCTCTTAAATGGTTAGGAGAATTTATTTTATATCAAGCGCTGTGTGATCACGTCCTTTATTCTCATAACCTATGTGATTGACAAGGAATGTTACTTGACAAATTTCTAGTTTGCTACAGGAAAATCGACGGCGAGATGGCGAATCCGTTATGGCTGACAACGACATGGATCTGCGCTTTAAGTTTTCACAGAAATGTTGTTTATGTACTGGAAAGTTTAAAACTTTTTGCACAATTCAAAAGCACGCGGAACGAAAGCAAACGGTAGAAGGTGATCGCGTCTTAAATGTGGTGTTTTTGGACAACCACGAGAACGAGGCTTCAGTGCCAGACATTGGATTTCTTAACAGGAGATCGCAAGATTTTAAAATAGGATATTTATCGTGGCTGGCAGGGCTTACGGAGCAGATAAACGCTTCCCTTAATCCTCGTTTACGTGGTAAGTGGCGAATTTAAACGGCACAAAGCCTAATACCACCTAAGCATTTTGCATCGCTGTTAATTTAGATCTATGCCCTTGAATATTCCACGTTAAAAGCCACCTAAGGTACTATCCAATCATCTTTTCAGTTGTGCGTACAGTCTTCACCCTCAAACTTTGCTCGTTTCTTTAGCATTTAGTTTCTCAGTTTAGTAGCAAAGTGCTTTGTCCGTCATTTAGCCGATTCTCTCACTGGCACGAGCGCACGTTACTCGAGTTTCGCTTGTCACACAATGGGCGCGATCCATTCAACCAAACTTTCCGGAAATTTCGGTTTAAAACTCAATGGATCGGTTCGGTCCAACCGGAAAAGTTTCGAAAAAACGGGTCCACCTTTTGAGGTGGTCCTCTTTTCCCGGTCGGACCGGTTGAAGTTTGGTTGAATGGATCGCGCCCAATGATCCCGGCTACAGGAGAAGAGCGTTGCGTGACGAAACAGAACCACTGTGTGCGAATGAATGAATAAAATCTTTATTTTACTTAGAATGACAGATGATCTCAGAAAGCTTAAACTTACACTTCTCCCGTCAAAAAAATGTGCTGAAGACCCAATTTAATTGTAGCTGGTTTTGTCTACTTTCATTTCTAGGTGGTTGGGTGACTTTACAATTCCCACAAGTTCCTGAAAGGTACTTTGGGCACTTAGCTTGTCAAATGGGATGCAGGGTGCATAGCATGAGGCAGGTACCTCATAAGAAGCCTCCATTTTACTGCCCATCAATAAGGCGAGTTTCCTATAAAGTGTATAGCCTCACTTCATTTACTGATGCATTGCATGAACAAACCCTCCTTAAACTAAATGATACGGCCTGGTACAGTGACCTACAGGAAGTGGAGAAAAGATCTGACCTTAGCCCTCAGGAGGAACTCCAGGCTACCAAGAACCGTAGTTTTTGGAGCACTGACAGAAATGAGGAGTCGTCAGGGGATCTATTAACCAAACGTCTAACGGCCAAAGCAAGTTTGGAGGTGGGTCCAAGACAAGGACGGACCACATAGGGAGGTAGAAGTAATCTGGTGGCCAGATCTATACTCCACCACAAGGAATGGAAAACTTTCAATAAGACTCTTTATTAAAAAAGTAACTGTTTGAAACTTCTTTTTAAGAACAGTTTTTTTTAATTTGCAGTCTATTCAATATTGATCAAACATTCAGGCAATGGCTTTAAAGTGGACTTCACTTCCCTGAAATATCTGGGAAGTTGTTTCTCTTCCATTTTTTATCTGCAAAGAGCAGTGTTAATCGTCAAACTTCCTTGTTTGACCTGTACAGAGGTTAACTTTGTTTTTTTTATTCTTCTCTGCCTCTTTGAAATGTAAGCTTGACATAGATATCATATTATTCACTAAAGTGTAAGTTGAAAAGAGCATAAAACATTAACCTTGGAAGATTTAGTATCTATTGGAAGGTGTGGTCATTGTTGAAAATAAAACATCAATTTTTTATACCAAAAAAATGCAACTTCTTCATGCAACTTTATTAAAACCACAAAAGCAAATTTTACCTTATATAGACACTAACTAAACAGACATGCTATTTAAATCTACTAAATAATGTTTTTTTATCTGTTAAAGGAAATTGAAAAGCCTATTTTATGAATTTTATATGTATTTCAGTGATTTTGTGCTTAATTAGTAGCAATTTAATGTTAGTTAACAAATCAGTAGCTGCTTTTACCAGCAAAAATCAGTTTGTGCTCAACAAAACAGCTTTTAAATCTGTTCAATCTTTGCTGAAAGTAGGGCATAAAGATTGAAATGATACAGTTTAATGAACACTTACTGGTCTACTCTGTGATTGGTTATTATCGTTTAATACATATAGTGGCTCCTAAAAGAGCCGTTTGTTTTTTGTCACCTGCAGTCAGTGCAATGTCAAACTCCCTGGTTTGACCTGCAGGATTTTATTTTTTCATTCGGTTCTTCATTGGAATTTCAGCTGAACATCAATGCCATGTCTTTTGCCTAAAAACTTAAAAAAGAGCAAACAACATTACTTTTGAGACAATAACTGATGTGAAGGTGTTGTCCTTGGTAAAACGGAAAAAAAGTTAGAATTCAATCTCATTCTTCCTATCATAAGCATCTTATTGAAAGCTTTGAGACAATTAATTCAGTGAAAACTCCGCAGTTTGGGCGTGCCCCCTGTAAACCTTAAGACAGAAAAAACCCTTACAATAATATTAATTTTCAACAGCATTTCCATTCTAACAACAACTATCTTGTTGAAAGCTTTTCAAAAAATTTATTCAAGCAAAAACTGGGTTCCATCACCTCCGCAGTTTGGGCATGCCACCTGTAAACCCTAAGAAGAGGGAGAGGAAACCCTTACAATAATATTGTCAAAAGAGTTTTCATTCTTATAACAACTATCTTATTGAAACCTTTCAAAAATTAATTCAGCAAAAACTGGGTTCCATCATCTCCGCAGTTTGGGCGTGCCGCCTGTAAACCTAATAAGAACTATCTTATTGAAAGACAAAATTGAAACCCTTAAACTGGGTTCCAATAATAGTTTGGGCGTGCCGCTTGTAAACCTCAAAGGAGTTTTTCCATTCTTATAACAACTATCTTATTGAAACCTTTGAAAAAAATTAATTCAGCAAAAACCAAGGTTCCATCATCTCCGCAGTCTGGGCGTGCCACCTGTAAACCTAAAAGAGGAAACCCTTACAATAATATTGTCAACAGCATTTCCATTATAATAACAACTATCTTACTAAAAGCTTTGAAAAAAATAATTAAGTGAAAACTGGGTTCCATCACCTCCCAGTTTGGGCGTGCCGCTTGTAAACCTTAAGAGGAAGAGGAAACCCAACAATAATATTGTCAACCCATTATAATAACAACTATCTTAACAAAAATTTTCTCCTAAAACCCATATCCATTGATTGCCAAGAGATTTGGTTATTGTCAAAATTAGTAAATTGATCACCTTTAAAAATTCAGAAAATGGGTTCCATAACCTTTTGATGCTTTAAACCTTAACATCAAATTCTCTCAACTTATTCTTTAAGAAAATGTATATTGAGATCAGTTTGGAGAATTTGTATGTGGATATTGGGGCTTAAAGGGTTAAGATGGAGAGGAAACCCTTAAAATAACATTGTCAACAGCATTTCCATTCTAATAACAAGTATCTTATTGAAAGATTTGAAAAAATTAATTCAGAACAATAATATTGTCAAAACCAGTTTCATTCACAGTTCAAGAACAGTATCTCATGGAAAATTCACTTAAAATAGGCAGACAATCTACAATGGTGATATTTATACGGATTACTTATTTCCACTGTGTAAAACGATAAAGAAGTCTCTGGCGATGACTCCCCATATCATGAAAACTCCAATGAAAGTACAAGTGAGGAATTCCATTGTCTGCAGGGTTGTCTATGAAATCAAACTGCCAAGGTCACACAAATGCCACAACTAGCTCAACCTTCCCCAAATAATGGCTGTTTGGGCATTCCAAACCGCTGAATTGGAAAGGTGATATTCCATTGGGTTTCTGATACAGCCTTCAGCAGATTGTCAGCCAATTCAATGATGTTGGTAGGAGGACTCTGTTTTAAGCCATCATCATAGAATGCTTGGTGCTGTGTTATATTTAGGCACAGGAGACCCCAGTGGTTGCCATTTACGTGGATTGGAGTAAGGGTCCATACAACATCACCAAGATCCATTCTTGAAAGGTAGGGCTTCAACTTTGTTTGTAGAAATTGCACATTTCTGGTTAAAGCCCAGGTTTGTGTAAATGACAGTAAATACAAGGAATGGGAATTTTTTCGCATGGTTTCCTCACTGTACCTCAAACATGCAGCATCAATCAAAAAGCCACTAATGTACCTCTCAGCAGCTAAGGTTGAAAGGTCTTCAGCATCAACCATCACATCACCAATTCTAAGGATTTCGTCTTGAGGTTCACTGTCAAAAAGCAAAGCCCTAATTTCATTAATCTGCTGAGGGGTTAATGTGGTGCTTGTAGTTTTCATCCAATTTTCCTCTTCTTGGACTCTAAACTTAATTGAGAAAGCTTTTGATGCTTTCATACAATGTCTAGAGCTCTGTTGTCAAAGACCCCAAGATCTCCAAACTTGACTGCAGTGTCGCAATCCTCATCATCACTGTCTTCTCCAGTTGCCACATCCATCAGTCTATAACCCTTAGTGATTGCTGATTCTGAGGGCCTGACTGGAGACTGCAGAGGATTGTTAATACACCCAGGATCAACAACCAGCTCGATGTCATCATCTGGAATTATAATTAATTACAGGCGGAAGATTAAGGGTAGCAAGTTGGCCTCTGGAACAATCATTTGCAGCACAAATTCGTAAGTAAGGAATAAACAAAGATTCTGATGGTTGAGGAACAAAGGCAGTTTTAGTATCCACTGTGACACTGGACGAAGGGCTGCAACTGGAATTTGAAGGGCTAGTGGCGGGGCTTGATGAGAGGCTTGTGGAAGAGCTGCTGACTGGGTCAGTGTTGCTGAAAGCTGGGCTGCTAGCTGGAATGGATTGTGGACTTTGTGGCTGTTCCAGCAAGGAAGTAAAACTGGTCAAAACTGTACGAAAGAGCTGCTCCCACAGTGCATGATCATATTGATAGATAGGTAAACAGTCAGGTGATATTACCACTTGTTTTAAACCTTTGTCAAATTCATAAGAAAGAGCATCCTTGCCAAACATTTTGTTGAACAAGTTATTCATGGTGAAAATCCTGGCCATGTCATCTTTTGACCATGACACTTCTTTTTTTCTGGACCAGCCACAGCCTCTAAAATGGAATGGTTTGCCTGACATACAAAAAAAAAACATTGGCATTGGCAAAATAAGGGAACCAGACAGTTAAAACAACAAAAACAAAAAAAAGATTTTAAGAGACTGTGTTCAATAAGCTCTAAGCTTATACTGCAAGTTTTTATGTGGTTAGTTTTCTACTGCTCAAGAGGAAGAATGACAACATATTAATGTTATCTCACCCCATTCCAGGTAGAAAAAGATAAAGTGCACAGTAATGTTGTCACTGAATATAGTGTATGCTTTCTATGGGAATACACAACTCTCAGTTTTTTACATAACGTTGTCTCAACAAGGGAGAATACATTTGACTACACATCAAAGGGACTGACATAAAAAGAAGTTCCATTATATAATGTTTCTAGCTGGCAAAAATTTTAGAAGATAATCACCATTATCCATGCTCTCTATAGCCATTCTGAGGCAAAGCCGCAGGAACAGCAACTTTTCAGAAAAGAAATGTTGCAAAATCTCTTGGACCTAATATAATGAAATAAAGTTGATTATTCAAAAGTGCCAACAACTTCAATACCAACAAGAACATGTGATTAAACCAGACTTTGCCTTTTTCCCCAATGGATTCTAGTTTTCACACAATAAGATACATAATATTTAAGAACATGTACAGTGTAGCTCCCAAAAACTGATATTTTACTAATAATTTATGGTATGCCTTGAACAATGACTTCAATACTAAGTGTAAATTGGCATTTAAAATTTCAATAAAGACCTTTAGCATCAGGTTTTCCATGCATGGGACACTGCAAACAGGTCTCAAATATGAGAACGTCAAGTGGTCTTCTGGTCGTGTTTGCAGCTTGCAGTTCAAGTTTGAATGGCAGGAAGGGCTTACAGCAGTAGGTGACTCACAGCAATGTTTTTGCCACTAACAATAATATTATTGTTCAGCCTTACAGTTAAAAGCACGAAGCACCTTTCCACACCACCCTCTGATGTGCTAGTTAGAGCTTGTGATAAACAATGAATGTCTGCCTAAAGTTTAAAATCCAGGCAAAGTGAAACTGCAAATGGGTGACTGCAGACTGCAGTTTACAGTTTGCAGTATCCCATGAAAAACTGATGCTAAAGGTATTTCTAATACCTATGGATATTCTCCAACAGGAAATTATTTTGCTAACAATGAAAGATCTTAAGATTAAAGGATATTCAAAACAAGGATTTTCCATTGACTCAACTTAGATTCAAGAGCTTTTAAGAGGGTAGCTAAAATTCAAGTGCTTTTCATATCTTTATGAACTATGCATCATCCATCTGTGGTATCACAAAACAATGTGAAAATGGCATGATGAGCTTCCTAACCTTTCTATAAAAAGAGTGCTTAGTTTAGTTCTAACAATATTTAAGTAGGTGACAATATTAGTTTAAAGTACTGTAGTGTTAAGATGTATGATAATATAAAAAAATAAAGAACTAAAAAAGTAAAATATAAAACTAACTTGATATAGCATGACCATGCCTGTCATGGGAAGTAGCCTTTGAATATAACTGATGCTGTAATGAGTGTGCTGCCTCAAAGCCTTGATTTGAATACTCCCTCAAGCTGAGGTGGTTTCTAAACAATGTTCAATGGTGATGTGGCCATAATCACCAGTGCCCAGGTTGCAGCCAAACACTTCCCTTAAAAGGAATCCCCATTTTTTGCACTAAAAGAAAAAAGAGGCATATTTCCATGGGTGTTAAACAGTTGTCAAAATAAACATTGAAGACTGTGCGGTGACTCATGACGGCGGGTCTAAAATACAGGTAACTTTTCCACACTGTCAGAGTACAGTTCACCATGATACAGACAAATGAATAGTATCAAAAGTGTTCGCAAGCACTAAACTCTTAACAAAAATTAATGCTCTATTAGATAGAGGGGAATCTGTGTGGTTTGGCAATTCATCTATGGAGCATTGACATGTACTTCTTACCTGTGGAATGTGACCTGTACTTCATGAATATCTTAAACATTTAAGGAGAGATAAACATTTTACTTTTAAAATAATAATTTATGTGCCTCATTCTCATTCATTTTTTTAATCTAAAAAATTGGATGTAAAGTTTAGCCGTGCCTTTATCAGATAGACACTCATTAAGCATTTATTTCTTTTGTTTTTTCTTTATGGATTATTAATGAGTTTTTGAATGTCAGTTAAAGTGGCTGGAAATTATTTTTGAATTTCTCGTCATGCAGTAGCTCACTCTCATTCAACGACCACATAATTAAAACAGCATCATCTTGTATGTCTGCCCTAGGGCAAATTAGCCGAGTTAAACATATATTTAACAAAAACATACTTGTTACAATAATTAATTCTCTCGTGTTTAGTAAGTTGTATTACTGCTCGTCCGTCTGGTCGAACACTTCTGCCAGCAATATACGCAAACTACAAGGAGTACAGAATTTCGCTGCTCGCATAGTTTCTGGGACAAGGAAGTTTGATCACGTATCTCCAGCCCTGAAAGACCTGAGATGGATACCAGTTAAGTCCCACCTGTATCTAAGAGACGCCATCTTGTCCTTTAAATCTATGACAGGTCAGGTACCAAACTACCTCAGTTCAAATTTTATCTCCAGAGGGAATATCAGTGGTCGGACGACCAGATCATCTTCCCAGCTTAATATACCGCTTTTTGAAACCAAGTCGGGACAGAGATCTTTTTATTACAGGGCTGTAACATTGTGGAATGCGTTAAAACCCCATTTTAAATTAAGTGAATCTCTTATCATTTTTAAACGTAAAATGAAAGCCTTCCTTTTAAATCAATTTTTAATGTCATAAATTTATATGTAAATAGTTTCTTAATAGTTTGTTGATAATCAATTTGTGATACTTTTTTTTTTTTTTTTGATTACCTGTACTATTAATACTTGTCTCTGAAAAGCCCCCATGGGGAGTTGACAATAAAATTTGTATTGTATTGAGTGTATTTTTTTTAATTTCTGGTCTCTGGTGAAAGATTTACAAGAACCTCCACTACAGCTGTATTAACCTTCTTGTTTAAATTTATTATTGTAATAGTTTTAGACATTATGCATATTTTCCATCAAGAGGACTCCATTTTCAAATGGTACTTTACACTCTTACTAAAGTGAATTACCTGACACATAGCTGTATGTCAAAAATGTCAATTAAATCTTGCTGATCCTCCTCGAAGACACTACTTCTAATAATTTCAGAAATGTCTTTCCAGTCATTGTAAACCTGAAATCAAAATGAATAAATTATACAAAAAGCCCAAATTACAATCTTAAATGAGGTGTTTTAAGTTAAGGGGAAACTGCCTATCTCAGTTTTTTTTATAAGAGCATGCAGTGACCTTCCCTTGTGACCTGTGTTTTGTAACTGCCACTTGTTAAAGTTAAGAATGTTGTTCCTAAGCAAAATCAGCTTGACTAGTTTTAACTTAACGTGTCTGGATTTTGCCCCATATCTTATTTCTCATAAAACTGTCCAATGTGTCTTCCAATTGAGTAAAAAAAGACCTGATTATTTGATTACCTTTAAAAATAATTGGTAGAACACTTCTGCTGCATAATCAGATAGCTGAGAAAGATCAGCATTGTCCACCTTCTGCCTTTTCTTTCCCCATTTCCCTTTAGCAACCGACCCACCAACACACTTCTCTGACAGCTCCACATATCTTTCCTCGATTTCACGTAGCCTGCCCTCCTGCCAGAATTTCAGTCTTCTTTGAACTTCTTTTCCAGTTTCTAAGGAAAACAGGTTAGGTAGTCACATCACAAAGTGTAAGGGGTATTCTTTTTAAGGTCAGGACTATTATGCAAGAACACAAACCACTGCTGGGTGTGCTTTACATGCTAAGGAACATTCACTCAGTTGGGATGTAGTAATCTGATGCAATAATGATGTAATCTGGATACACAATGGTCACGTCATGGGGTTGTATTAATACTAACAGTGCTAGCTAGCCTATCACAACTTCCAGTGTCGATGGATGTAAATAGAGTCATTAATTCAAACTGTCTGGTTTATCACAGTCAAAGGGAAGGAAAGCTTTTAAATAACAGTATAATGACTGTAACATGTACCTGAACCTGTGAGGGTAATAGTCTCCTGCTCTGAACCAAAGTCTCTGGTGAATGTCTCTGAAATAGCCATGTCCTGATAGTACTAAAACAAATTATTAAAAATTCATTGAATATTTTCAACAGAAACCATTTTTTTCAGTGTATGTTTGTGACATACTACACAAAAAATATTATTGTGTGTTGCACTGGTTTAAGTGAAACATTCAAATCATGTGATATCCTGAGCCATACCTTGATTCTATCATTACAAAATGTGACTTTATTGGGTGTTACTAAAATGAAGACCCAAAAACAAAGAC